ACATATCATGTGCTTATGATTATATTTGTTTCTNTTACATATCATGTGCTTATGATTATATTTGTTTCTTATCGGGAGTGGAAGTTTTATCTTAATCTCTATAAATCCGTTTCTTATGGGGAGGTGTTTCCCCAAGAGAAGTTTCCCTAAGAGAGGTCAATTTAACATTATAAGTATAGGAAATCCAAAAGAGATTTCAAAACCGTTTCTTATAAAGAGGTGTTTCCCTAAGAGAAGTTTCCCCAAGAGAGGTTGCACTGTATAACACAATATTATTTGCGTATTTTTATTATAAAATAAAGAAATGTAATCTTAAACATAACACGTAACTAATTGAAAATATTTTGTTGTATTATTATGTCATTGATTATTTATTAAAATTATAAAGAGTAACATAAATAATTTAATTTTAAAATGTCAAACATTTATTAATGTTTTTTAGCTGCACCAGCCATTTGAAAACCACCGGCATTTTTACCATGTGAACCAGTTTGAATATTATCTGTAGCTCCGGTACCATGGTTAGGTTTAGTCAATTTGACAGTGCTTGTTTGTTGAGTCTCCGCAATCCCACCTTGTTAAAAATAAAATAAAGTAAAAATTGTCATAGATTTAACAAGTTTATTTATTTATTTATTTAATAAAATTATACCATCTAGGGTCAATGCAAACACAATAACCAGTAAGATAATAGTGGACATTAGTTTCATGATTATTAATAGTTATTTCAAATTATTATGAATGTAAATTAATTTAATTTAATTAATTATCAAATTTAAAGTGAATAGTATTTATACTTTTGCTTTAAGTGATATTATTGTATATTATAACTTATTTTGGACTTATATATTTGATCAGGGCCTCTCTCTCTCTCTCTTTAAAATATTAATGGCATAAAATTATTTACTTTTAAAAATAAGTTACAATACCATTTGTAAAAATAAAATAAAATAAAATAAATAGTTATATATTTTTAATTTATAATAGTTTTATTTAATAATATTAAATATTATATATATTATATACTTTTTATTTTAATTTTATTATTTTTAGCTCAAAGGAATATTATATGTTTTATCATGAATAATTGTGTTATTTTATGTAAATAATAATTTATGTATACAATTAATGTACTGAAGTTTATTTATATTGATTTTTAGCTTGATGGGATTTTTAGCTTAATGGGATTTTTAACTTGATGGGAAATTAGCTTAAAATTAAAACATAAAGTGTTGAAAGTTTAGATCAATGATTGGATAGAAAAATAAACAATTCTATAGTTTAATAATGTATTAAATTTTAACAATGGACAAACAACTTGTTTTAAACCACAATTCAGTATGAATAATGTGGTTTATAGGATCGTTCTGGATCGTTTTTCCAAAATAAATAATTTTGAGTGTTTTGGTGTATTATAAAATTGACATAAATCAGTCAAATTATAGTATTTTGTGGATACTAACAATATTATGCTTGGTTTAAAAGACTAGACCTGTCTATCACTTTTTGTTTCGTCAATATAGCTAGTAATGTGAATTTTTCGCCCGGAATTATTTAAATATTTAATATTTATAGCGAATATAAGATTTTTAGTTTTGCGATGGATTTTTTTGGCAATTTTTCCTAACATCCAAAATACATTTCAAACAGATTCGTTTACTTTGTTTTACCCTATCATGAATACTCAAATTGGAGTGCATTTATTTGTCGAGTATCAATTTTAGTGATGAATTTGAAAATAATTTTTCCAAACGTTTTAATATTGGTTTTCATGCAACCAAATCAAATTTAAGGTTTTTTAAAAAAAAATTCCAAAATAATTAATTTTGAGTGTTTTGGTGTATTATAAAATTGACATAAATCAGTCAAATCATAGTATTTTGTGTATACTAACAATTTATGCTTGGTTTAAAAGACTAGACATGTCGAAATAAATAAATGTATTTTCATTCTTTGAAGTTTTCATAAGTTTTACTTTAAATCGCATTTAAAGTTAGATAAACTGTAAAACAAGCAAAACTTTTACACAATTTCAAAAAGCCCGCACAAAATACATCGGGAAAACATTTAATTTTAACTCTGTAGCGCGTGATACGGAATCATGATCGAATTCTTTTATTTTTGTTTGTTTATCTTTGTACAACTCTTGGGATGAGAGCAACAGAAATAACTTTTAACTTACTGTACATTCATTTGCTCTTAAAAATGATTTTTTTGTGTATAATTTAAAATACAATTTGTATAAACGATTTTGAATGAGAGGAGAGAACTCTTCGCATACAAACAAACAGACAAAGAATTNTAAACGATTTTGAATGAGAGGAGAGAACTCTTCGCATACAAACAAACAGACAAAGAATTATCTCAAGAAAATAAATAAAAACCCGAAAAATGTCTCGACTCAAGACTCGGCGCAACAAAAAACAACAATTTAAAGGCGACACAAAAATGTTTGTATCATTAGTGGAGAGTTTGTATATTGACTAACCTGTCCGGCGGTATCGCATAATTGTAATCGACACGGATTGTTGTCAATCGTTACCACCACTGATGGCATACAAGCATCACATAAAAGTCCATACAATCGGTTGACATATAATGAGTTGAATTGGATGTGACATAAAGTAGTGGATTAGGAGTTGAGTCGAGTGAACCATAATGAGAAGAGAAAAATATTAAGTAACAATAAAAACATGATTCCGATTAAAAACATGTTAAGTCAATGAACGACAAAATTGTATTAAAATTTTGTAACAAACTATGCCTTAAGAAGAGGTGTAGGAAAGGATTAAAAGTTTTTATAGCTTATAAGTGGGGATTCAAAATAAACAATAAATGATTGGTAATAAACAAAACAAAAACTTTTGAATCCAACATCCGAGTACTGATACACAAAGTAACCCTCCCGTCCCTTATTGCCAGTTTGCCTTTCCGTATAACAGTTAAGAGTTACATAAATTAACGATTGAAAAATAGTAAAATATAAATTATCGTATTTCTTCGTTTTATTTATCTGTCTCTCGCTTTAAAATTACTAAATCTTTGCCGTATTTCAGAAACTTAATTATTCTCTGATTTATTTATTTATAATTTAAATAATGATTAGTCGGGAGAGAGAGAGAGAGAGAGAGAGCAGTTGTTAAATGCAATAGATATCAGAATCTATTATTTGTTTGTTTGTTGGCTTATATTTTATCACAAAAAATATTTTTCTTATGTTTAGTATGTTTTCTATGGACTTAACATAACTTTCACATAACATAACAAATCAGTAGAAAAAAGCGAATTTTGAATGTTTTTATGTGAAAATTTTCATGAGGATTTTTTACGGTTTAGCATTACCTGAATACTGGTAGTTATCGAAAGCTGTGGGCACGTACTCAGTGGGGTAGCACGTACTCACATTTTCTCCCATTTAAGAAATGTATCACAATTTTGCAACGATTTTCTTTTTCGCGTGTTTTTAATGAACAAATGTTTAGTTTATATGAGATATAAATCGATTGTAATTATAATATTTAAATATGCATTCAATGCTGAGATTTATTTATCTGAGTTTCTAAATATAGAAAATTATTATATTATGACTACAATTAACATTAAAGTGTAATAAATCATAATTGCATTCATAACTATTATAACTAAAGCATATCATATCGTGCAAATGCATGTTTTTACCGGTTAGTTGTATATGTCTGAGACTTTGGGGGCAAACGAATGACATAATAAGGGGTGTTTTGGCAAACTTTAATTTTGCATGTAAATGCATATTTGGCTCATAAATGCATATAACTGCATATTTGGTTCAAAAGCATGAGAAAGCATGAATTTGCACAAAAATCATAACTAAACATGAATAAATTGTTAGAAAATTTACAATTAATTGAAATTAATTGAAATAAATTTTGGTTTACGAATAAATCTTGAATTATAAAACAAATATCTATAATGTTTATTAGGTAGTAGTGATACATTATTAACTATGGTATGTACAGCAATTTTTATAGCGTTCAAAAAGAAATAATATATTTTTAATTAATATTATCCTACTAATTATTATAATTTAAATGAATTTTGAAAGCTAAACAGCTATTATTATCATGACATTTTGCTTTATTGTTTATAAAATATATTAAATAATATTTATATCACATAATTAAAAATTTATAAGTGCATATTTGGGTGCATATTTGATCATTTTTAAATGCATATTATATGACATATTTGAGGGCTTATAAATGCATATTTTGATATGCTTTAATTATAACCATTGAATATCATATGATATGTGTGTACAGCATAAATGATAATGAATGCAACATTTTATGTGTGTAAAAAACTTAATATTATAATTATTAAAAATTTATAATATATTGTTTTAATATTGTAGTCCACTCTGTAATTATAAAATGTATGCACTTTTGATTAAAGGGATAGTGAAGTGAGTTTCATAATATTGGGAGGACTTAAACAACAAATGATATCATATTAATAACAGGTATAAATATAATAAATTAATCTCTTATTATCTATAAGACCAGTAGAGCTTGTATTGATGTATTGAAAAAGTTCATGATTTTATCTTTTTCTCTGACTTTCTATTATAGTAATTATTGATTAAAAATTGTAGATTTATTGTATTTTCGCTCTCAATTCAAATAGAAATTTAAAAACACTTATCAGAATTTAAACGAGACTTATTTTAAAGACAATATCACATCATTAGAGAAAGATTAAAAGTATTTTGATAGTTATTTACCATAAATTGAACATTTGTTTAATACTATTTGAATGAAATACGATAGTGTTGTAAACACTAATCCGATTATTTCCAGAAAATGTAAGCACGAGGTGAGAAATATATGAATGGCCAAAATAACGTAATACGTTTACATTTGAGTGGAAATGGTATAAAAGGCAATGAATTGAGCGCTCATTTCACACAAAGTTTTGCTTATTTTGTATTTGAATTCATATTTGAAGACAATTTGGTTGAAGTGATGGCGCGAACCAAACAAACAGCTCATAAGTATGTGGTGCGCAGTAGGGACGTTCGAACGGCGTCAGCCACCATATTGACAAACGTCCACAGAGTCACGACCAAAGTCACCGTCGTAAAGGAAGTGGAAATCTCCGTAGACCGGAGATCATCACTTCCGGTAAAGAAACCGCATCGTTATAGACCCGGAACCGTTGCGCTCCGAGAGATCCGTCGTTACCAGAAGTCCACTGAACTGTTGATCCGAAAGCTTCCGTTCCAGCGATTGGTCCGAGAGATCGCTCAGAACTTTAAGACTGACCTCCGATTCCAGTCTTCAGCCATTATGGCTCTGCAAGAGGTTTGTATTGATTGACATTCAATTGTTTGCTTTCAAGACTAATGTTTTTAATGATTTGTTAGGCATCTGAGGCTTATTTGGTCGGTCTCTTCGAGGACACGAATCTGTGCGCCATTCACGCCAAGAGAGTGACAATTATGCCGAAAGACATCCAATTGGCCCGTCGTATACGTGGAGAGAGAGAGCTTAAAGCTGCAGACTGGCATTTTATAATGCTTTTTATTATTATTCAAACATTCAATATCTTTTAAAATACTATATTTTATATTATTTAATATTATTATTTCGAATATATTATATTTACTTTTTTCAGAAGCTATATAAGAATATTTTATTATGTAATTCATAAATATATTTTTCTCATTCAACATCTTTTCTAATAAATAATTTACTGTTAAAAACAAATCGCATTTTAATTAATGTCAATGTCGTTAATGAGCAGAAATTGACTCGAGAAACGACGTTTTCGGGGTTCACTACATGCAAAACTGGAGGTGAAGGCATGTGTATAGACAGTGGGATTGGGTTTCAGTTGTTTGGCGATCTCAAGTATTGGCCAATTGTTCGATTACTCGTCATTGTCTCCTACCTGGGCGAACGTAAATTAGTTTAAGAATTACCTATAATTAAAATAAACTAAAAGAATCTTAATTTGTATAGAAATGCGTGTGAATCCAAGAATGAAAGCATTGCTTTCGCCAACAGGAAAGAGACAACTAGTGTACTGTCCACTCAACGAATACGATCTCAAAGAGTTGGGACACATGCTTGGGATGAGTTTCCATAATGAGGTGAAAGAAGAATCGAGAAAAGTGTTAAAAGCGAAAGAACGCAAAGGTCTGAAACCATTGGTCAAACCAGACCATCACATTCTGGAACCTGAATCCACAATAGATGTGTACTTAGGATGGGTGCCGTCGGTATGCAATTGTCGTCACGTCTACCCACTGGTCATACATGATTTGGAAGAGTGAATGCGTGAAGAGTTTATGGTCAAAACGCCTTTTTAAAGGCGACCATATTATTGTAAAATAGCGTCAGAATTATAACTATATGTCTAAATTGTTTAGCATTTTATCAATGATTTTACATGAATTGCAATCAATTGTTTGAATGATTGAAAAATATTCAACAGATTTAGTAATGCTATGACAATTGTTTAGTATTTTATCACTAATTTTACATGAATTGCAATCAATTGTTTGAGTGATTGAAAAATAATCATTAGATTTAGTAATGATATAATTGTTTAGCATTTTATCACTGATTTTACAAGAATTGCAATCAATTGTTTGAGTGATTGAAAAATATTCAACAGATTTAGTAATGTTATGAGAATTGATAAAAGAATTTCACAATTTATTCTTAAAATAACGAGTATATTCTAAAATATTATAGTTTTGTGCATTTCCCGAATTGTGGTTAACGTATAGCATCGCTGTGTGATNAACGAGTATATTCTAAAATATTATAGTTTTGTGCATTTCCCGAATTGTGGTTAACGTATAGCATCGCTGTGTGATCCTTGTTTTAATTGATTTTTGTTGTCAACTTATTTTCGCATATATTCGTAGTTTAATTAATAAAGTATTTTATTTTAAAACTAATCATCTTGTTTTAAAAATTAAGATTTATCATTCTGTTTATATGTATGGAAAAGTACAAATAGACGGAATTTTTAACTGTTAATTATTACTTATTAATTATTGTATTTTATTTGCAATTCATATTTCAAAAATGTTTAATAAATACTACAATATAACAGAAAGATTGTTGTATAATATGCGCATAAAATGGCCAGAATAATGGTAATAAAGAATACACATATATAATAAGATATAAGAATACACATATAACTTACACTTTGGGGGAGTTTTCCTGGAATTAACACTTAACTTAGGGTTGGGGCTGTGCCGGGATCGTTGGGAGCCGGGCTCCAAACGGGAACCAACGAGTTGATTTTATTACACAATAATAGACACGATTTTATAAGCAAACAATACTTTAATCATGACATAAATAAGTACAAGTTATGAGATCTTGGAAATATGAAGCATCAATAGAGATGGTTATACGGCTCTCGAGAGCTTTACAAAACGACCTAACAGTAGTGAGACTTCAGATGGTAGAGAACGAGGGATATTTCGGATAGCCCTTATATACCCTCGTTAAAACCATTAAATAAAGTAAGGCTCAATGGGGGGTAAAGCGTCAGATGGGATACTAACCAGATGTAGTGTTATGGGTTTTTATGGGTAATATTCTGGTGTATAACCATTATATTCTAATACTCTCTTCCTATAAATTTCCCAATAATAAAATAGCCTTCGTAAAACGTATATAAACAGCGCATATCTTATCAGATGATTATTACCAAGTTAACTATGATTTTAATTTATTTCTATTAAAACTACAACACAATTAACGGGTAAAATGTTATTTGTTTATTAAATTTGACAAATAATAATTACCATGTTGGCAGATCTACTCTCAGATGTGCATGCTCAACAAGTTGATGGTGGCGGTGATGATCGTAGCGATTATGAACGCTATGTTCATTGATTTGGCAATTGGTGGCAGTAGTGACTGCAATCCTGGTAACCTTGGCTGCCCCTGTATTTCACCAAGCGGGTTTATGCCATTCCCTTCATGTCGTAAGAGTAGTGACGACTGTGTGAATGGCATTCGCATTCACCCGGTGGGCTAGGGTTAAATGATACTAATTGATTTATAGTAATTAGATTATAAATAATTAAGTTAGTTTATACATTTAATGTATAATTGATAGAATACACTTTTTTACTTAAAACTTTATTATTTTATAACCATTTTTAGTAATGATTTATATGTATCTGATTGATTTAATAAAATATAATTATTTTATAATTTGTACATTATTAAATAATTCATTATTATAATTTAATATTTTATACGAATTGCGTATTTTATTTTAAATTATTGAAATTATTAATAGTAATAGTAACGTTACTCGTAATAAATAAAACAAAAATAATTTCAATACAAATGACAATTTTATAATTATAACATCTCTCTCTCTCTCTCTCTCTCTCTCTCTCTCTCTCTCTC